GAGTAGAGGTGTAATTGTTAATTTACATTCACATAATCTCAATGTTGATATAACTATGCCTTTGCTGATATTCAATGAAGCTAAATCTCTTTAGTTTTTGCAATATGATAGTTAATGGACCCTTCCTTGTCTTCTGCTTCTACCGTGCTGTTTGGGTGGTTAATTATCTGGTTCCATCTTGCAATATTGGTAATTTGTTAATGTACCATGTGTAACACCACTACACCAGTTAAGGTTGGCGTTCTCTGAATATATTATAAGCTGAGTAAATTTTGAACTTTTATCTTGGGCCTGCCAATATTACTTATTTGGATCTGTCTTTCCTTAAGAAAGTGTGTTACAATTATGATTTCTAATTGGTGGTTTATCAACTTTTATTTGATAATTTGTAGGATTTCTTTTCTTGGATTTTACTGAAATTTTCATTCGAGACCTTTTATATGACATGTATACATTGACACAGTATATTTTATACATTCAGGAAGGAGAACTTGAAACTGTTGCAGTTGTTCATTCTTATGAAGATGGCATGCCACCTGGGTCTCATAAGACGAGGCTAACTGCTTTGAATGTATGCCTCTGATAATCAAAACTCATTTAACTTCCTTTCCCTTTATTAAACAATAGTTCATGTTGCCAATATTCAATTTGCTACATTAGACTGAAGCATACTACAGTGTAAAAGGTTTCGTAAAGGCTCTAACGTATATATGCATTCTCATTAACCCACAAAAAAAAAAGTAAAAAAAGAGGGAATATAATATAAAGAAAGATGCAAAAGTTAAAGACCTCTTTAACTTCTATATTTCAAAAAATCTACCAAGCACAGTTACCCTATATTTGATATGACAGTTACGATGAATTTGACATATTTTCTATACAACAAGGGATGTCTTTAAATGTGCCAATGGCTTCAGGTCTTTCTTAGATTGAGTTAGGGGATCATAAATATGTTGGTGCTAACATAACGGCTGTAAAAGCTAGAGGATAATGTTGTAAGTGTAAGTAATGTATAACTTGATCAAAATTCCCCTTTATTGTTTCCAAAAAGTTATTTCCAGTTAATGCTTCTGTGTTGGTTTAATTTGCTTTTTATGCATTTACCTGTAGACTAATAATTTGAAGTTCTGCAAGTACAATTAAGCTAGGCATTCGGTCATTTAATGCAGTGAAGGTTGAGTTTTAAATGCTTGGCTCAGCAATTATTTCTTGTAACTATTTGCATTTACTGTCACAACAGTAAAACATGTTTAGATTGACTAGTACTTCTTATTGTTTTTAAACAGGTTCCACCAATGGGTTTGTTCTACCCAATGCTTTTGGTTCCAGATGTTTATCCTCCACCACCCCGTACATGGTGAGGATACTTTCCAATCATTGATAATTTTTTTGACTAAATAACTCCTTGCACATTATCTAACTTCCCAAAATGGTATTATGCTTCACCAGGTTCAAGGATTATGATGATATGTTGGAAGATACATGGCATACTGAGGGCTTTTTCCCCAGCGGTGCTTCTGCATTCCCAATGTGGGAGAGCTACCCAATTTTTCAGGCAAGGCCAAAGAAAGAGGACAATATTGGTCTTGCAGAAGCTATTACAAAAAGCATTCTCTCAACAGGTTGACTTGGTATTTGAGTTTTCTCTGTTAAAGCTTTATGTGTTTTTTCTCTTACCTCTCCTCATTATTTGCCCCAGGGCGTATAGACCTGCAGAGGAAATTGTTTTGTAGCATGCAACTGGCAAGTTTTGAGCTTTGGTCTAAATACTCAATTTGTTTCTCGCAAATGTTTATGTCGATCTATAATTTTACATGGTTCAATGATACAGATTGGTGGAGTGGCTTTGATTGATGGGCTCATTCCTGCCATGGAGGAGAGGTTTGCTTCAATCTCTCTCTCTCTCTCTCTCTCACACACACACACACACACAAACAAATGGATTAGGCTCATAGTTGCTTAGAGGAATTGCTCCTAGACAGGCTTGTACTGTTAACACAATTGCGGAAAAGATAATATGCAATACCCAGAAGCAAATAGAATATATAACAATTTTACTGAAGTTAATTGCAATTCCCAGCTGAAATTGTACATCTTTCCAAACTCAGAATTAATGCAATCATTTTTATTCTCCAATTTATGCTTCAAATTGGACTTGCCACCATCTGCAATCCTGTCCTGAAGCATTTTATTGGCAATCCATGTTTTGGATTGAAATTCGTCTTTTCTGTTATCTAAAGCAGACCATATTTTTTCGGACTATTTTATTGTTCCAGCTGATCACTTTTCCTTCTCAAAATCCTCTCTCAGTCTTGATAAGATACATGATTGTGATGAAGCTCCTTAACTTACAGCAAAATGTAGTAGTGTGGACAAAGAACAAGCGGTTACTTTAGTATTTGCTGATGTAGATGCCTAGAGGATCACATTATGCCCCAGCACTGACATATGATTTATGGGGATAGAGCAGCCACTCAAACAAAACAATCATTATTTATCTAAGTTGTTAACTTAGATATACTTTAATCATAGTTTTTCATTTCTTGTGAAATTTATACTTAAATTGCCATGCAGTAGCAGGAGAAGCTGAATATTTAAATGAGAAAGCAAGAAATTGTTGTGAGTCATATTCGTTATTTGGCACTGTTATCATTCTGTGGTGGACGCTTTCTTCTTAATTTATGTACATGGCAGGAAAACCTTCATATTTTTTTTTATCCAACTATCTTGATATTTTTCTGGGCAGGGTGTTACATGCGATTCCCCCAAATGAAGCCATTGATACTGTGGAGGTGTGCATCTCATACTTTTCTGGTTTAGTTAATAAATAAATTTTTTTTTATAAATGGTAACCTGTACTTGTGTTGGGTCTTGTTTCCTATGCCATAGCATTGTGGAACTTGGTAATGCTAACTAATGTCACTGCTTCATGTAATTGTTGAAGCATATTTTGGAACCTAATCTCGTTGCATTATGTGCTTTTCTGACTTCGAGACCTCAATTTGTCTTTGATATTTTGCTCTATAATATCGTTCTGGTTTTCCAGTTCCTAATGATTCATCATGTTGTTGACTTCTGCTTGTCTTTTTTCATATCTAGGTTTTGCAATCAAGGACAAATCCAACCTTTGTTGCATGGAAGGGTGGAGCAGTAAGTTTCTGTTACGGTGCTATCTTATGGTTAACTGCCCTGGAGATCTCTCTTCTTGTTATCTATTCTAACAATAGTACGAAGATTGTGATAATTTTGTCCATTGGAGTTTAGAATACACAACTTAGCCACTCAGGATACTGTTTTGCAAGTATTTGAATCATCAATTCTACTTCTCTGATATCATTATGGATTTTGAAGTATCTTCAGAACATGGTATCTGCAAAAGCTCCATTGGTAGAGATGAAATTAAGTTTCTCACTTTCATGGCATTCACCTTCTTTGTAGATACTTGGTGTACTTGATTTCAGCCGAGATGCCTGGATACATCGGGAAGACTGGATTCGAAGTGGGATTCACATTGGTAGTGGCAGAAAATACAAGGACTCTTATTTCCTCCAGGCACAAGCAATGTGTTACATAAATTCCTGAGACATGGTATGGAACATTCATTATTGGATATTTGTTTGTTTATTTTGGTTACTTAAGGCATTTGGTACAAAACAGTGTTTATAAGAGACATTCCGGTAATCATAATTGTGAAACATGGTGATCTTCAGAAACCTCTGCCCTACCCTTTTTTTCACTCTTCTGGCCTGCATGCAGGTTTACGTCAGGCTGTAAATGGGACTTTGATTTACTAGAAAGACTAACGCTTGAAGCTGCGAGTACCAAGACTTGTGAAAGTACTGAGTAAATTGTGGAATTTTTGCTGTCAAACAAACGTTCAAAGTGAAATTTGGTTGGTTAAAGCACGTAGCTGTTGTTATCATCAGAAGCATGAAACCCTTTGTCCTGAGGAGATGGAGGCAGTCTACTCCGTGCAGCACTTGCCTTACTAATGACCTAACACACTAGCGCCATTTTTAGCAGTAGACAGCTTGGAATTTGGACTTATTTGTAAAGCTGGGTAATATCCCTCTTAAATCTTCTCCTTACCTTCCCTGAAATCTTCCTCAGAATTTCTGAATCTTATTGGCAGAGATTGGTAGAATGGTAGACCACTTGTTATGAAATGGAGTTTCTATTTACTCAGATAGCAAAGATATGCTACGGTGTTTAGCTTGCTACTTTTTGTTTTTTGGTCTATTGTCACCATTTACACCTGCACTTAGTCTTATTTTTACTCTAACCTATACTAGGGGGTGGCTCAATAAGGTCACGGGGAACTGACGGGAACTGAATCGGACCATATGGGTTGCTGTAAAAGTGCTGAAAGTAGTAAAAGGGACGGCTGAACATCCCTAGTCGAATAAACATCGCACCAGGCTAACATCCTCTGATTCGAGAAACTTTTTGGCACTTGCGTCCCAATCAAGAGTTTGAGGGTCACTCGGGGCAATGGCAGAGAACACCTCTCCATAGTGAAAATTAGTTACCAATTATAAGCTGTAATTAAGATACCAACAACTTTGTAGGAACAACAGAAACCTTTCTACAGCGAAAACAATGTATGGTTTAGTTGGCAGCAAATGTCGGTTTGATGGTGAATTGCTGTGCAAATAATTTCTGTCTGTCGGCTTGGGTGGACAAGAACAGTTATCAGTGAGCAAAAGTAAGCAAAAATGTACAGTTTATACTACAATTTAAATCTGATACAACTGATATGTGTGAATTTACGTGAATAGTAATTGAACATTACATTCTTATTAAACACTTGCACAAATAATCTGTGGTAAATTATAACCTGCTTAAAAAAACAAAAACTTAATTACAATCAAAATCGGGGTCTAACTCGAATTTAGTAGAACTAATGGAGCGAAAATCTCCTCGTCCCACATCGGAATATGTAAAATGTATACTCAGAGGCGCATGAGATAAAATGAAGCGGGCTGCGAGGGGAGAAATCTTAAAAGGGTCGGTTGGCTAAATATGCCGCTCTTGCCCGCGTTGGTGAGAGCTGTATGGCTATCAAGACATATGGCCGACATAATTTGTGGAGCCTGTAGGGTTGGTTCGCTGGGCCGACCCTCCATTCTCAAGTCTTTAAGCTTATTTGTTATTATTTACATTACATGAAAACATATTGCCAACCAAGAGTGGACGTTCTCACCTGTACGGGGACCAGTTCAGGGGGACCAAATGTGACGTATTGCCAATTTGTCTGGTTCAATTTTTTTTTTTTTATAACAGTAACAGACATTTGTATAATCTAATCTAATTTAATTTATTCTATTTAAAGAATCTAATCTAATTTATTCTATTTAAAGAATTAGTAGATTTACAAACCCGACACTCTGATACCTTTTTTTTCTTATTACCCTTTTTTTTTATTTAAGGACACTCTGATACCTTTTTTTTTCTTATTACCCTTTTCTTCTTATTTAAGGGATTAGCAGGTTTACGGACCCGATTAAATGAATATTTTGACACTTTTTTTGAATTTTCTCATTACATATGGGGTTCGAACTCCCGATCCACAATTTAAAGAAGAATTTAATCCTTTTTTGATGGCCATTACGCCAAAGTTCGGTGGTTTGCCTGGGAAATTTGCAGTGCCAAAAATTGACATTTTGGGTAACAAAGAACAAACTGGCTATGTACATGATAGCACATGGTCCACACTCCAAGGGGGACCAAATTCCAAACATGATCACACAGGACAACACCTACGCAACACTGCCGAAGTTGTGGTGTACTTGCAGACCATGAAACGTCATTGAGTGTTAGTTCTAGGTCTCTTTCCAACATGGTAGTTGGTAACTTGATAGTACATCAAGCTCATAATCGAAATTCAGCTCTAGTTCTTCTTAAGAAATTTTCATGCAAGGTGCATCCATGTTCAATAACATTGGAAGGTCGCGTTGCTAGCTTCAAAAGCAAGCCAAAAGAAGCACCATATCATCTATAATTATACTACTATAATGAGTTCTAACATATGCAGTATTCCTCACATTTTACATTATTGAAATCAGAGTAAACAAAAAGTAGTACGGATAACATCTTTATGTTGAACAAAATGGTCCTTCTGTCTCGTGTTTGCTTTCCAAACTGCACAAAAGAATCTCATAAGGGTTAAGACAGTCATTCCAAGAAAATTCATTCTTCAATTTCATGCTTAGCCTCATCCAAAGCCCTGTAATTAGTTGAAGTAAAGACACAAGTAGCAAGACTTTAAGAATCTCCGGTGAACCAGGAAAACACGAATTGTAGTTTCTTTGCTCGTCAAAGCCGTGAAGGCAGAACCTTTTCATCTTTCAATCCCAAAATGCCACAAAGTTCAGGATACAATGACTTCCTAATTTCAGCATACACCTTCCCTTCCCACTTCTTCTTGCTCAAATCCTCCCCTAGTCGCACTGCAGCCTCCAATGTCTCCATTCCATTACTGTGAACCGAGTCTATGATTCCCATCCCCGCCGCCTCCTCCGCCCTCACCTTGGAAGCCCTCAATAGCAATGCACGCCGAGCCGAGGGCGAGCCGATCTTTGACCTAAATATGGCATTGAAATAGTCTGGCAAAGTCATTCCTATATCAAGCTCACTCATGTACAACACCCCCTTGTCTGATCTCATTGTGATATAGTCATGGCTCAAGGCTAGCATCAAGCCGGCCGCAGCCGCATGGCCCGTGATGGCAGCTATTGTGGGCATTGGAAGGGAGATAAGATCAGCCACTAACGGCTTGAAGATCTGTACCATGTTCATAAGCCTATCCTTAGCACCTTGAACTGAACCAGCAGCTTGAGCATACCTGATGTGCATATATATACATACATTTAAATTGTACTGTATCCATCAATTCCTCCTCTTCATTAAACTTCACTAGTCTAATCACATCGAAACGGTGAATCTGTTACTCTAGCGTTTCAATCGAATCACATGGTTTGCTTGTATAAAGCCAAAACATTTTTGGACATGGACAACGCAAAAAGTAAATTTTAGACATCATAATTTGGTCTCAATCAAGTTTATGGAAAAGAAAAATGGGACATTTTCGTAGTATGAATAAAAATCTATATCGAATATTAACAAATAAATTAAAATTCGGAAAATCAAACAATCATTCTCTAAACATGAGAAGAGATTGATAACACGATCTACTGATTTAGTACAATATCACTAGAAGATAATTATCACCAAATATAAATCCACGCTAAAGCAAAAAAAAAATGATAAAATTAACCACGATCCAAGACTTCATCCACTTGGCTTTTCTTTTCTTTTTTCCTTCTTACTTTGTTGATAATGATGGAAATACCTGAGGTGAAAGCCGTTGGAGAAGAACTTGCCCTGACCCGATGTGATAAGAACGGAGCCTTTGGTGGCTTGAGACTTGACTTCAGCTAAAGCCGACCTGATGGAGGCGATGAGGGTCGGGTTCAACCGGTGCTCGTCATCACCTGTTAACGTTAACAAGAAGATGTTGCCGCGTTTCTCTAAGGTGCACATATCACCGGCTGAAAAGTTGATCGGCGGCCGACCGGCGGGCCAATATGTATGCTGCTTTGGGATGTGCGAAACAGGGTAGCTTTGAGAATAATGAGATCAGAGCGTTATATAGTCGTATTCTCCATGGCCCGGTAGTGGTGGAATTATAGCCACCTTCAAGACTTTTTTTTATTCTTTTATTTTTAGCAGTGGCCGCCTTTAAGATTATTTTATTCACTGCTTAATTAATTCTTCAGTGGTGTTCTTAATGTGCAGTATTTTATAATTTTGTTTCCAAGTACTAATATTTTTGTAAATCCTATTATAGGTTTTATCCATCCAAATAATAATTCAGCATTTGTAAACGAATTCTAAAAAAATGACTAAAATCAAAATAATAGTAATTAAATATCAGAAGAGAGAATAAATGTGAATGTATACATTTGAATAAAAATATATTATGAATAATTTATTCATATCTATTAATTCTATTATTTAACAGATAACCTGAACACTTCTCATAGTAACAATCCTTCAATTTTTCCAAGTTAGTGCGTATATCAATCGATCGAATAAGTTCATAATATTTCATGCAGACCAAAAATGTCGAATCCCAACTGTAATATAAATTATATAATCCCGAATCTAGAATTTACAAGTTTTAAGTTCAGCTCTTATTGCATGTGACTTTTTTTTTCAAAAAATTGTTAGTATTCAACTGTTGTGGATTCGTTAAAAATAAGGGTTAAATGCACTTTGTACTCCTCAAGTATTCGGAAAATGGCGCTTTGCACCTTGAACTTCAACTACCTACCTTCTACTTGCAATTTTTTCCATGATTCAAAGTCAAGCAAGTAAATCCTGACTATTCTAAAAAAAAAAATCCAGACTATTATGAGGCCAAAAAGGCTTGTATAAGGCAATAAGCGCTCAATATCAAAGCGCGTTACGTTGTTGCGCTTGCTTGATTGATTTGAGTCCTCCCTGATGCCAATTGAACCAATGTTGTTAAACTCGGACCGAATAGCGATCCGGTTAAACTACTGAATTATGAGTCCTCCCAAAACAGTGGAAAAAACATGGAGAAGGTAATTATTTTTCCCGATAAAATTTTTCATGGAAGACATTTTTCGTTGAAAATATTTTACATTGAATCAAACAGACCCTAAGTGGGTGGTGTTTTCTTATTCCTATTAAAATGAAAGTGTCACAAATTAACTTGTTCAAATTATGTTTGCGGTAGGACTGTTAATGGGGTCGGATCAACCTGAGGTCAGCTCGTTCAGCTCGAAAAAAGCTCGATGATCTGACCTTTTAGTAAATCGGTCGGAGTTTAATTCTAAAAATTAGATCCGAATTAAATATGAGTCGAAATTGGGCCTCATTAGACTCAAACCCGATATAAGCCCAGTCCTTAAATTACCTATATATAATGATATATATATATATAACATTTATATTTTAATATTATATATAATTATATATCCAAATATATTATTACTAAATATATACAAATTATAAAACACAAAAATACATTTATAAACTCTTCTACTAACTTTCTTGAAAGTCAATATTGGTAATGCATAACTAAAATTTTAACTTTTATTATTGATTGAATAAATTTTTATGTTGGCATAATATTGGTTGATTTTTTTTTTTTTTTTGTCTAGAAACACAAACATGTTTGGATTCAAGTCACAAATCTATGAAGAAGTTCCAACCTTTGAAGGTGTATTGACTTATGACCACATGTTTTATTACTATTTTTCATGTATTTTGAATGAATTTGATATAATATTGTTGAAAAATTATTGGTTTATGTACTTTTTAAAACCTATTACTTGTTGACTTTTAGTTTTAATGTTGTAATCATGTGAATGTATTAGTTTTACAACTCAATAATTATAATAATTATATTAAGAAAATTGAGGAGCAATAAGTGAGTTTGGACTAAACTGGAATAAGACTCAAAACCCGAATATTTTATGAGCTGAGTATAATCATCACATTTCTTAACCCGAAAATTAAAAATGTTACAAATTAAATGAGTTGAATCTAAACTTATGAAAACTCGATTCATATGTCCCGATTGACAAGCCTAGTTTGGGGAAAACAAGAAAGAGAAACTTGAGAACTGGATCAACCAGTCGAATCGAGTCATTGGTTTGATCGATTTTTAATGGTTTTGACTGATTTTTTATTAAAGCGATTTTGTGTTACGAACTATCTCTCGAGAAGGTTGGTTTATGGTCATACCGATCGAACCTTCTGATTTGGTTCGGATCTAACAACACTGGATTGAAAAGTTCCTTTTGCCTTTTTCTATATTTTGGGCTTCTCAACTTTTTGACTTAATTGTTAAAAAATATATCTGCACTTAGGTTTGTGTAATCTCAAAGGTTAGCGATAGTGTCAGAGAAATAATTAATTTTCCTATCAGAGCAATTTTTACTCACATAACTATAATGCCCTTTTAATGTCAAGAAAGAAGTACGACTAGTTTGTTGTTGTTGTTTGTTTTTTTTTTTTTGGCGCCTCCCACCTCTTCTTCCTTACTCCTTGCAACTCAAGTCAGATCAAAAGTCAAGATTGTTGTTAATGCTA